CTTTCACGAAAAGAAAAACAAAAACAACAACAAAGATGAGCTCTTTTTTTTGCGTTATTATTCAACAGTTAGTAATGTTGGTATGCTAGTAGAAATTGTTAGAAATAATTCGAAAACTATTCGGATTTTTTTTCGCTTATCCAGCTTTGGATTGGTAAATTTGTAGCGTTGCTGCTAGACACTAAGTTGGGTTATGTTCGTTCACTTCTTCCCTTTTTCTAGCTGTTACGAAATAAACTCTTAACAGTTTGTGCAAATAATGTGTTCGAATAGTGTTAAGAAAAGATTGAGTGACACATGCACAAAAAACGGATTTAAATAACATTTCCTTGCATACAACAAAATATCTCTATGACCTCCCTTTTTAATGCTTGAAAGACTGAGAATTTCTCTACAAATTTTTCGAACAAGTCATTCCAGAAATCTGAAATTCTCATTCCAGTTCTTCTTTAAATTACTCCCGTAATTATAAATAACTGTAAAAAAGTCACGTTTCGTTCTGTATAAGATTTTCAATTTTTATCAGCTTAAAAATTCTATTCAAACGAGTGGTTGGCCACTTGTGCAGCACGGGCGAGAAAAAGCGGATTAAAGTTTTAAAAGTATGCCTGAGAAAAGAAACAATGCTTAATCTGCATGCCAAAAGCCCTACATAATATCAGCTAGTAAAAATTAAATATAGACTTATTCGTATGAACCGCCATGGTCTCGAACTGTTCGTGAAAAGCGTAATGCATGGGAATCACAAACGCAGAATTTGGAATCTCGATTGCAAATTCCTGCTTCTGAAAAGGTATTTCTACAAGCTTTTTTTGATTCTTTTCTTCTCAAATTTGTATCTTGAAAAAACTTTCAAACAACTGTTGGAACAGCCATGTGTTATCAAAACCAAAACTTTCATAGTTTTGAACGTTCAGATACCAGTTCATCAACCACCGCATTGGTACACGAAAGCAAACCGTACACACAATGTTTGGCAAACGGCTGCTGACAGAAATGCATCAAGAGCTCAAAGTGAGTTCACTGATGACCGTTATCGCGGTCACGAATACCCAGACTACGGAAGCAGCTATACGTCAGAAACTAGGCATGAGCAAGAATATCGAACCAGCGCACAACAACAGTACAAGCAGGAAGAATATAAACGAGAACAACAATCGTGGAATTCACAACGTGATACATCAGCTGCTCAAAATACGTACAGTTTACAAACTGCTATTCCAGCACCGTTCGAACAAGGAACAAATTTGCAATCATATTCGGGACAACTACAGAAATGGGAATCTCGAAGGTACCCTAATAACTCCTAATTTTAAATTTTAGTTCAAATAAGAGAGAGGATATAGCAGTGGGATAATTTTTCTCTTCTGACGTGCATATTAATTCCTCTCCTCATTTCCCATCCTATTTCTCCCAGTAACCAGAAGAATAAGAAGAAGGGTGAAAAAGATCCGTAAACTTTTTTGCTTTACTTCATCTCTTGACCATGTTGTAGAAGCAACAAACTCAACAATTACAGTGTACCAGCGACCAACCAAAGCCATTATTCGAGCACTTACTACGAAAAAGGTCAAAACAAAGCTGGTTATACAAGTTCTAAATATCAGAAAGAAGAAATGTCAAAAGAACACTATGTTAGTCAACCGCGAATGGTAAACTCTTATGAAACCCAACGAACTGACACAACACAGCGACGAACGCCCGTATCAACGAAACAAGTAGTTACTGTAACAGAGGGAACTGGCAGCAACTTTAATCGAGCAGCCGAAATGGCAGAAGTAAGTAATGGTGGCAAAGTTGAAGAAAGAATTTTGATCTTGTTCTCCAAGCTTCTTTTTGTTTTCTAGTCACAATAGCTACAACCTTGCAGTTACAAGGATCCCAAATAGAAAATTGTTGCTGGCGAATGATGTGTTTGAAACTAAGGTAACAGAATTAGCAGCAGTAATTTGGGAAAAAGGTTTTGATCATCTAAGTGTCAGTTTGATGATGAAACAATTTTAGGTTTTGCCACGTGGAAGTATTGCAAATACTCAAGCAAGCACACAGGGTAATTACACTGACGCTGAAGGGCGAGCAGTTAGTTATACACGAGAGTTAGTGACCAGTGTCGACCCACATCGGGAATGTTCACTGCTGAAAGAAGAGGAACGAAGAGTCGCTGAGACTCCATTAGAACCGGGAATTATTTCAAGGTATTACTTTCTTCAACTTTTTTACCTCCAATTTTTTGTGCAATTCAAACCGACATCATTTCTCTGCCTACCACTGATCCTACAGATAACGCTAATTACTAAGCAAAATAAGTAGTTTACTAGCGAAAAACGCTGCTACCTATCATTTGATGGTGGTTACATTTAGTCCCATAAGTTGATTTTAAGCTTGAGTAGCAGTATCCAATTCCTTCTTGTAGGTGTTTATGTAGACTACTAATTTCTAGGAACCTTCCAAGCATTTCGCACGCGTATCTGAAGTAAATCTTATGATCTCTTAAGACCCTTCGAACAACATAAATCCTGTAAACTATTTTTAGGCATGTGACAACAAAATACTATAAGAAGAAAACTGTAACAGATACAACAACAACCACCACAACAACAGCTCCCCAATAAGGCTGCCTGCATTATCTTATGTATCGAATAAGGCAAACGTGGAGACAAGAAAACAATTCTTGATTTAATTCAAACATATTTATTTCTTTTAAGTAGTGAAAAAAAAAAGCAAAAAAAAGTCTAGAAAAGAAGAAGACAATGGCCGTAAATTATTGCCACCTATTTGTACACTCTAAAATGCTTGCTTGTATGTCGCATCAGAAAAAAAGGAGGCTGCATATCTTCC